GTCACTTACATCAATGAGTAGATCATCCAGACAGAAAGTCAACAAGGAAACAGTGGCTTTAAATGAAACAGAAGACCAGACGGACTTAATGGATATGTAGAGAGCATTCCATCCAAAAACAGCAGAATACACATTCTTCTCAAGTGCACATGGAATAGTCTCAAAAATATGCCAGGAAACAAGGTAAGCCTCCATAAATTTAAGAAGATTGAAATCATATCAAGCATCATTTCTGACCACAACGCTGTGAAACTAGAAATCAACTACAAGAAAAAGCTGGGAAAGTGACAAATGTATGGAGACTAAACAACATACTACTGAACAACCATTGGATCAATGAAGAAATCAAAGGAGAAGTCAAAAAATACCTGGAGACAAATGAAAATGAAAACACAACACACAAACTCTTACGGGATGCAGCAAAAGCAGTACTGAGGGAAATTTATAGCAATATGGGCCTACCTCAACAAACAAGAAAAATCTCAAATAAGTAATCTTAAACTACACCTAACAGAACTAGAAAAAGAAGAACAACCAAAGCCCAAGTCAGCTGAAGGAGAGAAATAATAAAGAAATGGAGGAGAAATCAATGGAATAGAGACTAAAAAACAATAGAAGGGATCACGAAACTAAGAGCTGGCTCTTTGAGAAGATAAACAAAATTGACAAACCCTTAGCCAGACTCACTAAGGAAAAAGAGAGAAGACTCAAATAAAATTAAAAATGAAAGAGGCAAAATTACAATGGATACCACAGAAATACAAAGGATTATAAGAGAATCCTATGAAAAACTACACGCCCCCAAATTGGATAACCTAGAAGAAACGGATAAATTCTTAGACTCCTACAACCTCCCAAAACTGAATCAAGAAGAAATAGAGAATCTGAATAGATCAATCACAAGTAGAGAGATTGAAACAGTAATCAAAAACTTCCCAAAAGATAAAAGTCCAGGACCAGATGGCTTCTCTAGAGAATTCTATTCAACATTCAAAGAAGATTTAATACCTATCCTTCTCTAAATAGTCCAAAAAATTGAAGGAGATGCGATGCTTCCTAACTCATTCTATGAAGCCAATATCACCCTGATATCAAAACCTGACAAGGACAACACAAAGAAGGAAAATTACAGGCCAATATTGCTGCCGCACATAGATGCAAAAATCTTCAACAATCTATTAGTAAATCAAATACAGCAATATATTAAAAGGATCATACATCATGGTCAAGTGGGATTTATAGCAGCTATGCAGGGATGGTTCAACATCAGCAAATCAATCAGTGTGATATATCACATTAACAAACTGAGGAATAAAAATCATGTGCTCATCATGATAGATGCAGAGAAAGCATTTGACAAGATCCAATGTCCATTTATAATAAAAAACTCTCAATAAAATGGGTACAGAAGGAAAGTACCTCAACATAATAAAGGCCATATACGACAAACCTACAGGCAACATCATACTTAGTGAAAAACTGAAAGCCATCCCTCTGAGAACAGGAACAAGACAATGGTGCCCACTCTCTCCTCTCTTATTCAGCATAGTATTGGAGGTTTTGTCCAGAGAAATTAGACAAGAAAAAGCAGTAAAAGGGATCCAAATTGAAAAAGAAAAAGTAAAACTCTTGCTGTTTGTGGATGACATGATTCTACATATAGAAAACCCTAAAGAATCCACCAGAAAACTATTAGAAATAATCAACAACTACAGCAAAGTTGCAGGGTACAAAGTCAACATACAAAAAATCATTTGCATTTCTATGCACTAATAACAAACCAGCAGAAAGAAAAGTCAAGAATACAATCCCACTTACAACTGAAACAAAACGAATAAAATATCCAGGAATAAATTTAACCAAGGAAGTGAAAGACCTATACACTGAAAACCATTGAAAGGCTTTATTGAAAGAAATGAAAGAAGACATAAAGAAATGAAAGCTATTCCATGCTCATGGATTGGAAGAATAAACGTAGTTAAAATGCCCATATTACCTAAAGCAATCTACAGATTCAATTCAATCCCAATCAGACTCTCAATGACATTCTTCACAGAAATAAAACAAAGAACCCTAAAATTTATATGGAACAACAAAAGACCCCAAATAACCAAAACAATCCTGAGAAAAAGGAACAAAGCTGGAGGTACCGCACTCCCTGATTTCAAAATATACTACAAAGCTATAGTAACCAAAACAGCGTAGTACTGACAGAAAAATAGACACGCCGATCAATGGAACGGAATTGAAAGCCCAGAAATAAAACCACACATCTATGGACAGCTAATCTTCAACAAAGGAGCCAAGAACATAAAATGGAGAAAGGAAAGTCTCTTCAATAAACGGTGTTGGGAAAACTGGACAGCCACATGCAAAAGAATGAAAGTAGACCATTATCTTACACCATACACAAAAATTAACTCAAAATGGATTAAAGACTCAAAGGTAAGACCTGAAACCGTAAAACTCCTAGAAGAAACTATAGGCAGTACACTGTTTGCCATTGGTCTTAGCGGCATCTTTTCGAACACCACGTCTACTCAGGCAAGGGAAACAAAATAAAAAAATAAACAAATGGGACTACATCAGACTAAAAAGCTTCTGCAAGGCACAGGAAACCATGAACAAAACAGAATGATAACCCACCAACTGGGAGAAAATATTAGCAAATCATATATCCAACAACAGGTTATTTTTCAAAATATACAACTCAACAACAAAAAACCAAACAACCTGATCCAAAAGTGGGCATAGGATATGAACAGACATTTTTCCAAAGAAGATATACAGATGGCCAACAGGCGTATGAAAAGATGTTCAACATCACTAATTATTAGGGGAATGCAAATGAAAACCATAATGAGCTATTATCCTACACCCATCAGAATGGCTGTAATTACCAAGACAAAAAATAACAAATGTTGGAGAGGATGTGAAGAAAAGGGAACACTCGTGCACTGCTGGTGGGAATGCAAACTGATACAGCCACTATGGAAAACAGTATGGAGAGTTCTCAAAAAATTAAAAATAGAAATACCATATGACCCAGCCATCCCACTGCTGGGTATTTATCCAAAGAACTTGAAATCACCAATTCAAAGAGACTTATGCGGGGTCGGACCCATGGCCGAGCAGTTTAAGTTCACACTCTCTGCTTCGGTGGTCCAGGGTTTCGTCAGTTCAAATTCTGGGTGCGGACATGGCACCATCCATCAAGCCATGCTGAGGCGGCATCCCACATGCCACGACTAGAAGGACCCACAACTAAAAGTACACAACTATGTACCAAGGGGCTTTGGGAGAAAAAGGAAAAATAAAATCTTTAAAAAAAAAAAAAGAGAGACATGCATCCTATGTTCATTTCAGCATTATTCACAACAGCTAAGACGTGGAAGCAACGCCTGTTCCCATCAACTGATGAATGGATAAAGAAGACGCAGTGTATATATATATATATATATATATATATATATATATATATACACACACACACAATGGAATACTACTCTGCCTTAAAAAAAGACAAAATTGTGCCATTTGCAACAACATGGGTGGTCCTTGAAGGTATCATATTAAGCGAAATAAGCCAGAGAAAGACAAACAACATGTGATTTCACTCATACATGGAAGATAAAGAAACACATGGTTAAGGAGAACAGATTAATGGTTACCAGAAGGGAAGAGGGTTGGGGAGAGGACAAAATGGGTAAAAGGGCACATATGTATGGTGACAGATAAAAACCAGACTACTGGGGATGAGCATGATGCAGTCTACACAGAAATGATATATAATAATGTACACATGGAATTACACAATGTTATAAACCATTATGCCCTCAATAAAATAATTTTTTTAAAGATTGGCACCTGAGCTAACAACTGTTGCCAATCTTCTTTTTTTTTTTTTTTTTCCTGCTTTTATCTTCCCAAACCCCCCGTACATAGTTGTATATCCTAGTTGCAGGTCCTTCTAGTTGTCATAAAATAATTTTTTAAAAGAAGAGTTTACACGGGGGAAAACAAAGAGAAATCCACAAAAGTACTTAGCTCCAGTAACAATTAAAGGAAAGGTATTTAGACCCGATGGTTCAGCACTCTCACCACCTTGGCCCCGGAGTTCATTTCCCGGTCAGGGAACCACACCACCCGTCTGAGGTTGTCATACAGTGGCAGCTGCGTGTGGCTGTGATGCTGAAAGCTGTGCCACTGGGATTTCCAATACTAGGAGAGTCATCCATGGTGGACAGGTTTCAGCTAGGGGTTCCAGACTGAGACAGATGGGAAGAACGACCTGGCCACCCACTTTCAAAAAACTGGTCATGAAAACCCTGCGAATAGAAGCAGAACATTGTCTGATAACGGCACCGGAAGGTGAGAGGATGGCGCAGAAAGATGGGGCAGGGTTCCTCTTGTAACCGAAAGTTCGGTCCCCGAACCCAATGCCAATCCAAATAACAAGAACAGAGTCTTGAGTGGAAGAGGAAAGGTTTTTACTATGCCAGGCACAGGGAGCAAAGCAAGGGCTCATGCCTCAAAAATTGCTAGCTCCCCGACGAGGAAGGGGTAGGAATTTTTATTTGGGGTTTTGGGTAGGGCAGGGGGAACATGTAGCTTGTGCAGGTCAGCGCTTTTCCACCAGCCTGAGTTTGGCCTTGAGAGGCTGCTTGCAGCCAGGCGGGGGGAATGGTGAGATAGGAGGATGGCAGCTGGGCGTCCTTCACCTTTGTCTCATCTTCCTGTTTGAGGCGGGTTCGAGCGCAGGGAGTCAAGGAGTTGAGGTCTCGGATGCCTCCGCTCCCTGATATTCTTGAGACAGCGGCTTTCCTGGCAAACTTCAAGGACACATGATTAGCTAAACCTTAGTGTGCCTCCAACTCCAGGCCACCTGGGCTTTTAACAATTTGTAACTCCCATTTAGTTGTAAAGCTCAAAAAGTCAAAGTTTAAAGAAACAGGTATTTACATGTGAGTGGAGCTAGAGAAGCAGGAAAGGGGGTGGTGGGTTTTAGTTTTAACCCCATGTAGGCTGGGTTCAATGTGGGGGAAGTATCAGGGCTGATGTTAAGAGCCTGTCACACTCTCTGCTGTCCACAGGGTCACTAGAATTGGCTCAAATGTACTCACAACAATAAACTATTACATGATAAATGAGAACTTCTTATTTGTCTTTATAACCTTAATCCTACCACAAGAAAAAAGAGATTTCTACGTGCTCTTTCAGAGCAGTGCTTGGCTTGCACCTTCCATTGACTTCCTCCTCACTGGGCTGTTTCACCATTCCATGGGGGAGATTCACTTGTGGGTTTTCTCTGGTGGAGATGCAAATAATTTCTGTCCAGTGGAAAAGATAACACCAAAGGTTACAGTTTACGGTCTTGCAGGATACTAAGCTGTGTACAAATCTCCAGTTCCTCAAGCGCTTTGTGAGCCAATATTAACATTGCTTCCCACATCAATTAATGGATTTAATAACATTTTTGGCATGTGCCTATTTCATATTTGCATGAGAGTCAAGCTTTTACCTTTCTGAAAATTTACTTTAGCACTTTCAAAGGTCATCCCCCTGAGATATCCAAATGGACTTACCTGACAGAGCCAATTAACTGCCTTGCTTGAGAAGTGCATCCATGGGTTGCTTAAGCCAGACTCATCTTTTCTTCACTTCCAGAGTGAATTTCAAGCAGTGATAAAACTAACTTTACTGATTCCGGTGTTTTTTTTCTTCCTTATTTTGTGGTTAAGTTTTTGTTTCTGGTTCATGCAAGACCAATCAATTATTCCCCACTAATGGCAGCAATGATTGGAAATTTGCTGATACGGTCTGATGATTTGGGGACCTCTGTTGAATGGAAGGTGCAGATTTATTTTCCATTAGATGGCAGGTTACAGAGAATCTGGTTTGTTTGATTGTTTGTTGGTCTATTTGTATCTTTGTGAGCTCAATTCAATCAGCCAAATATTTGAGATCAGGTTGGGTGAGTTTTTGTATTTCTGTGTTTACTTTTGCTCTGTAGCTGAAGTCATGGAACTGAAGCTATATGCTCCCTATCTATTAAAAGTCTATGTGCCTATAATTTAGAATAGCGGTAACCGCTAATTGTGCAAGTGTGAAATATTTCCCTACATCCAGAGGTTATTAATAATTATCTCTCTTAAGTTAAAGGAGTTCGGTTCTGATTGTTTATAGAGAAAGATAAGTGCCTACATAAATCAAATAGTCTCAACATTTACAAAAAATAAATGATAATTTTAATACTTTAAAGGTACCAAACTTTTAGGAAAAAATCATTTTTATAGAAACTGCTAGGTCAGAAACATTTTAAAAATCCAAGTTTATATATTTAAGGTGACTCTTCAGACAAATAAGACTGGTTTGACAATTTTGGCATAAGAAAGTAAATAAATAGTTTTATGTTTTTTTCTCTGATTGCTCAGTATTAAGTAAGCTATAACTATACATTTTACTTTTTCAAAAAATTTAGGTTTATTTTCTCATAAAGAGATTAGTTAACTTGAACTTCATAACTTTCTTATATTGGTTGCTTATCAAATAAGCTAATATTATTCCTATCTAATATTTAAGATTATTAAAATGTATATTTGCGTACAAGAAAGTTGAATCATAATTTCAACTAATGTTTTTATAACAATAATTATGTTTTATAGTATGTCAGCTTAAACATAATTTCCAAGATCCTTAGGTAACAGTAAATCAATTTAATTCACGAATAATATTTTGATACCTGAATAAGTTCTAAGTAAGACAATACTGAACACTGATTACTAAGCATGATTTAAGTTTTGGTTTTTATTGTGGGATTTTCTTATATACACAATGAGTGATTATATGTTTGGGTCATGTTAAGGAATGTTCATTTTGCAACTTAAAGAAGTTGTGAAAATAAGGCATACGTGTGTGGCTGTGACTGTAGAGAGTTGTGTTATGTGTGTCCATGAGCTTTGCTAGTCTGCTGAAACGCTTACATGTAACAAATCGTCCTCAGGTAGCTGCCTCTCAGTTTTCTATTTGAAATATAAGTTAGTTACTTTGTTTCCAGGTTATAATTAATACGTGTGGTTGAGACTCTCTTAGCAGCAATAGTGACAGAAATTACAACTGTGTGTGCAAAGTAATGGGATGAATTTTTGTTTTTAAGGAAAAAAGAGAGTAGTTTTGTCCAAAAAAAATACATAAATTTGTTTCGGAATATGCAAGATGATAATGAAAGATAAACTTGGAGCGAATAACAGTGCAAGGGCAGCAGAGTTCATTTGTGGTAGTTTATACTAGCTGAGTCAAAAGAAACCATGATGTATGTTAAATGTTGACAAAGTTTGCCCATTTTGATGGGTTTATTCACTAAGTAATTGTTTAAAAGTGGGGGAACATCATTAAACTTTTACTTCCCTGTATTCTATGAATGCAAAACTAGAACTTGGCTTTCTGTCTGTTACATGACAGATCGGTCCTAGAGCCCTTTACCAAGTAGCAATAAAAGGTCATCCTTTACCTTCGGAGTAGTCTGCCCAGAGAACAGAGACTCCCAAGCTTTCCAGAATAATATCCTTGATTATTCAAAACAAAGCACAAAATGTTCCTCACTTGTGAAAGAGCTAAGTTTCCGTATAATCCTGCTGTCCTCTTCTATGTTTATTTAAAGACATTTTCACCTTGGTTAAATAAGGAGTCAGGTACTGATTCTCAGGCCCCTATGATCCTAGCTTAATCAAGTATTCAAATATCCTCTGATTATTCTTTTTCTCTTCCCAAGATCAAGCCTCAAAGTTAAAAAAGGAAAAAGAGCTATCTGTTACACTTTAGTTTTGAAATTTCCCAGAAGGCTCTTGGAAATCACAAAGATGTATTCTTTCTATGTATTCTCCTTATAAAAGGAGATGCTAGAAATAATTGGGTTTGTTCGGTATGCTCCATATTTCTCTATTAGCTCAACACTGTTGTAAGAACTGCATGGAAAAAAAAATTGTCAAATCAGGGCCAGCCCAGTGGTGTAGTGGTTAAGTTCGCGCCCTCCACCTTGGCAGCTGAGGGTTTGCAGGTTCAGATCCTGGGCGCAGACTTAGCACTGCTTGTCAAACCACACTGTGGCCGGATCCCACATAAAATAGAGGAAGATTGGCACAGATGTTAGCTCAGCAGCAATCTTCCTCAAGTACAGAGGAGGATTGGCAACAGACGTTAGCTCAGGGCCAGTCTTCCTCACTGAAAAAAAAAATTGTCAAATCAGAAGAAATCCTCAGCCTTCCCTAGATTAAGTTTGTATTGGTAAAATGTTATTAATATCAATATTCTAAAATGTGTCTGTTTCATGAGAAGGTCTTGGGGATTTCTAAATTTTGCCGTCTCTAATCTATTCTTATTCTCAGGGGAAACCCTTACAAAATAGTTATATACTGACCCCAATAAAGGATTTCACTTTCTTCCATTCTGATACTATTGTTTACTTACCTATTTGGTCTCATGACATACAGGTGTCTGCTTCCTGCAGATGCTTATCTGAAGGCTCTGCTATAAGTAGGACTTGTTTTTCATGAAAGGACAGTTGCAGAACTCTACAGAAAGTACTATAACAGTACCTTAAACTATTGATGCTTCCCAGAATGGACTCCTGTGTACAGGCTTTTGAGCTGACGCTCCTTAGATAACACTCAGACTATTCCAGGAACTGAGTGGGGATTTCCAGGACTCTTTTTAGTCCAAATGCAGACATACTTAATGAAAACAGATTGCTGACCCAAGATGCAGCCACACAAAAAATCTACTCCATAAGACTGAACTGAGGGAAATTTCATCATGGTATTCTGTTTGGAATATTGTTGGTATTTTTTTTAATACTCTAGTTTTCTTAGTAATAGGAGGAAGCTCTTTCTCTGTCTTTTTAAGCTAACTCTCAATTTAGTAGCCTCTGCTTTTGTAAACTGAAACTTTTGTACATTTTTAATGCACAAACTTTTTTTTCTTTAAAGATTGGCACCTGGGCTAACAACTGTTGCCAATCTTTTTTTTTTTTTTCTGCTTTATTTCCCAACCCACCCCCCCCCGCTACCCCTCCCCCGATACATAGTTGTATATCTTAGTTGCAGGTCCTTCCAGTTGTTAATGTACAAACTTTTTTGAAACTTTCCTACATTTTTGATAGTATCCAATTCTCACTGACCCCTCAGAATTCAGAAAACAAACACTTTTGTGGAATCTCCTTGCTTTTCGTAACAATGTAGTTATTTGTACAGGTTTAATAATAAATTGCCCTCCTTTTTTACTAGAAAATAATGGGAAAATTTCCTGTGCAATCAAGACCATACCTGGAGTGTCATATTTCGGGACGATTCTTATTCCGTCAGGTCTAAATAGGAACCGCAGGTGAAATCTGCTAAATCCGGCGTCCCGGATGCGGCAGTTGCGCAACATTGTATGGCTTGCAGAGCAAACTCAAGTTGGCCTGACAGTTAACTGATTTTTTTGCTATACTTATGTGAATAGTCAAGCTAACCAAATATTATGAGACCAGCCTTTTGTATCAAGAATAATTTTTGAAGATTATTTCTGATTGCAAGTGAGGGAAACTGTCAGAATAATTATGTAAAACTTGTAACTAGACAGAAGAGATTTCTGGATGTTTTTTCAGAGCAGTGCTAAGTTTGTCCTTTGACTTACTTTCTATCAATTGGGCTATTTTACAGCTCTTTAAAGGTTAATCTCAAGAGGTCTGGCGGAGGTGCAACGAATCTGTCTCGTGGAAAAGATAACCGCAAGACTTACAGTTTATGGCCCTGTAGGATATTACACAGTTTTTATCTAACCCAGAATCTTATCCTAACAATCCTTGATTCAACTGCCTGTAAGCGCCCAGCTCTGCAAATGCTCCTTGAGCCAGCATTAAAATCTTCCTGGATCCCTTGTTAATTAAAGCACAGGATAAAAACCTTTGAAATGCATTCGTTATATATTTATATTAAAATTATTATTTTACCTATTTCAGCAGAGGTTCAAAATGTTTGTTAAATAAATACAGAGCCCCACAGATGATGATACAGACTGTGCACTTTAAAGACGGGAGCAGGGGGCTGAAATTAGCCCATGCTCCATCCACCAAGCCATCCGCCCCATCACAGGCCTGTGTCCCTCCAGAGGAAGGGCGCCTTTTCTTTACACAAAGATGCCCTGTGTACAAAAATGTGCCTGTCTGGCTGCTTTCTTCTAATTTGCACAATGGCATTGATAGGCTACTGGTGGCACTAAATGTATCTGTCAAAGTAACAAAAATATTTTAAAAGTATAAAACCCAATGAAGTAGGTACTAATGAAAACTAGTATAAATATTTTTTGGGTAGTCTGGGAATATTTTCAGTCTCTGTAAAAAAATTTGTCAATACATAACCAGCTATGAAATTCACTATAATTTAATTCAATGATTCTGTTTTAGGTTGTATACACACAGCCCAAGAAGACAGTTTTTCCCCCTTTCTCCTCCAAAAATAGGTATGTGTACATAGCACATTAATAACATTAAAAAGTTTCAGACACTATACATAGTTATACAGGGACTATGGCAATACCTTGGAGTGTTTCTATAAACTAATAGTACATAAAAAAGAGCAGAATTAAGAGATGTCAACTACTTGATGGTAGCATCATGTATCCACAGTCCTGAAGCACCTGGCCCGTGGCAGGTGTGGCGCTCACTGCAAGTGTGAAACAGAAGAAATTTGTATAGGGTATAACACTTAACATAGTATTGCAAGATTATAATGCATACGTAGCATCAATTCCAACAAGGCCAGAGAGGATTAGAGCCAGGTCGCAGAGGTTCATAGCTGCCAGACTGTGGAGTTTGAACTTAACACAGTGGCCAAGGAGGGCTGCAGAAGGTTTTTCAAGAAGCAACACGATGAAAATGGTATTACAGGAAGTAGTTGTGACTATTTGGATACAGGTTAAAGGGATAAAGATGGGATAAAGGGATAAAGATGTCTCTGGTATTCCCAGTCTTGAAAGCTGGCAGAAGACTGGGAGTGAAAGATTCTCCTTTCATACATGGTAACGGGGAGTTTGAAGTGAAACAAATACTAAAGAGCATAATATTTATTCTTTTCTGTAAAGTTGTGTAAATTTCTAATTATTTGGTATTAATAATCTTAATTTCTTAAAAAAATCTTAATTGACCAGGTTTTCTGTTAAAGTAGAAACTCCTTGGATTTCCATGGGATTATCGCTAGAGGGCAACCTAATCATATCCACTTGACGTCTTTGGAGCCTGCCGACTCCAAGGGTAGCCCGTGGATCAGCAACATCAGCCCCATCAGGGTGCTTATTAGAAATGCAGACTCTGGGGCTCCCCTGAGACCCACAGAATCAGAATGTGTATTTTCACAAGCTCTGCAGTGACTGGTGGGCGCATTAAAGTGTGAGACGTGCTGACTGGGGCACAGAGATCTCTCCTACCCTTTTGTTACTGCTGGCTTGGCATTTCTTCTCAGGTGCCAGGCCTCACTCACTTGCTGTGTTCATGGTCTCCATTCTGTTCCTATACATTTTCCTGTGGCTGTTCTTTTTCGCTTTTATCCCACAAGTAGTGGAATATGAACATGGAAAAGCAGGACAGCAGTAGACTTCAAAGCCAAACCAGCAAACCTCACAGCTGCTCAGCTCATTCCTAGTGCCAGCACTTTTTAAGGCCAATGCCAAACAGCTGTTTTGACTCTCTTGCATTTCTGCGGGATAAGAAGATAAATTCTGTTTTTGATTTACCAAAACAGAACTAGAGGACAGCTGCTTTTTAAAGTGTGTTTACCACCAAGGTCACATTTTAGAGTAAGATTTAGCTCTTGAAATCAGTCTGTCCGGAAAACCAAACAGCATAAACAGCCTTCCTCCACACTCTGACAACAAACAAGGAAAGGGAAGAAAGGAAGTTGATCTGTCTGTGGATGGAGCCAGACCGGATCTTGGTGGACAGAAGCCTTGTGTAGGAGTGGCTCAATACGTCTTTGCAATTGTTCCTCTCCCTGAGGGCATTAGCAGGTTTGAGACAACAAGGTAATTCTTGGTTCCATTCCTGCCTTTTATGCTGGTGGGATCCTACCAACCCGTATCTGTATTTCCCAGCATCTTACTGCTCTCAAAGAGTAAGCTTTGGCTTGCCCTCAACACAGGGAGATAGGATGGCAGAGAGGATATTGTCCATGGGTGGAAACAGCACATTCCTGGGGCAGCAGCGAGAGCCTTGACCCATATCCTTGATCACAGTTCAACTATGTTCTGAAAATCGAACGTAACAGTTCTCAAATTTTGAGTGCATCAGAATCCCCTGGAGGACATGTTAAAATACAGATTGCTGGGCCTCGCCTACCAAGCATCTGATTCAGCAGATCTGAGGTGGCACCTGAGAATTTACACTTCTACTGCATTCTCAGGTGATGTTGATGTTGACGCTGATTGGGGATCATACTTTGAACCCCATTAAGATGTTCTAAAGCATCTTAATGCGCTGCTATACATTCCTCCAACGAGTTGAAAATTGTTGTTGCAGGCTTGGGGCAGACATTAATCAGTATTTTTGGGTTTTGTTCCTCATTTAAAAGCCCATTTAAACTGTCCACAGAACTAAGTGAAGATTGAAAGATGACCTGACAATCCCACCAAGGGGCAGGTTTGCTCTCTAGGTTTCAGTCTCATTTCCCAGGCAAACCGGCCTCCTGCTAAAGAACCTAGCTCTTATCTCTCTCCAAACCCACAAGGTGGGACTACTGGGTTGCCACAAACAAGGCTGAGGAAATCCCCCTGAGACAAGTGTGTCAGTAATGTTTTTAAGGGTACTAAGAGTATCTTAGCTTCAGCTTAAAGAACGTAAATGTTTCAGGTTACCTGTAACCCATAGCAAAATGTGACTCTAAGAATTCCTGAAGGTCCTCCTTCCTTTCCCCACCAACTAATCAATTTCCTCCCACCTCCTTACATCAGGGTTTGCAATTAGTTTTTCTAGGGTAAGTTGTTGTGTTCTGTTAAAATGCAAATAATCTCAAGGGGGATCAACATTACCATTCACAGAAATTTAAATTAGGACACTAACTATTTTATAGTTTGGTTATAAGAGAGGGAGGACAGATGGATTCAACACATAGAAATCTCAGCTGGGAGAAGGACCTGCTCACCAGAAGCCCTGCACCCCCTGCTGCTCTGAGGAGTTGAAGGGGAGTGACATCAGAAAGATGACAGAATAGGAGTTTTCTACCATCATCCAACCAAGAACATCAATTTTGACAACCACCTATCGACAAGAGTACTTATGTGAGGGTCCAGGGGTCCAACAGAGAAGTTCCAGCACACCATTGGAGAAAAAATCCAAAAATAGTTACATTCAAGAAGGTAAGAAGAATAGTTTTATTGTACCTGTGTCACCCCACCCCTAAGGCAGCAAGTGCCAAGAGAGACCCCCTCAGCCCATGATTTCTCTCACAGGAAAGACTGAGAGCATAGTAAGTAGCCAGCTTCCCCAGTTCTGCAGCACACTGCCCAAGAGACTCACTTATTTCTCACCCCACCCAGAATACTGAGGTGATGAGCATAGCTGAGAGGTTGGGAGAGGCTGGGAGCACAGCAAGAAGGGT